CAACTGCTAGTGTACTTTGTTCTCGCATGTTTACCAGATGTACACGTGCGCCATTGTGGCTTTCAGGAAGAACCTTTCAGTCTTATAAACATTCCACATATATACTTTCTTTATCACCGGATAAAAAGGACCCCGTTTATGGTGACCGGCCCATTTTAAAACATACACGCCAGCGAAAATTCAGACGAATGCATTGAAAAATTTAGATAATGGGTGCATTACAATCAGTCCAAAATTCACAGAATCTTACATAACTAAAACTATTATGAGGGAATTATAATAAAATGGTCCCGTACAAATTTGAAGTACGGTGGCTACCGTTCACATGCCTTCATTGATTACATTATTGGAATGAAATCCGGTGGCGCGTGGCAGGTTGGCCGAGTGGTTAAGGCGGTGGACTTAAGTTCCACTGGAGGTTATCTCCGCGTGGGTTCGAACCCCACACCTGCCAACCTTTTCCTACCACTGGTGCCATCCCACAGACATTCACGAGTTTGACTGTCAAGTTGTCAGATCTTATCCGAAAGACTGTAAACATACAGTGACTGCAACAACTGCACCTTTACTATCATCTGGTGTTAAACTAGTGGATTACATACTTGAGATGTTTCATTTTTCTTTTTAGATTTTGACTACTCATTAGTAGACTGAATATAGATTTAAGTTACTCGAGGCACCAGAAGACATCCCAAATTATGTTAGTGCATTAATCTGGACAGTGTCCAACAGTAACACCCCCCATCTGTACTTTTTGTATTAGGACATTGCCATGAAATAAAAATAAGTGTGCAATGTTTGCAAATCATCTTAACTACTTTTAAGTGCATTTAGTTACATTATGCCACCCGCGGATGGTTGCGAACTTGAGGCACGTTTAAAATTGTGACCTTGAAAGCATTTTACTGGAACTTTCATCTCCTATAGAATGGGCAAATCTTCGTTTACGGTCACATTATGCATTTGCAGGATTGGCAGGCTTTGCAGTGCCCTATATAATTTTGATGCACGATGTGCAAAAAACGCTCACCAATGAATGGGGCAATTTCTCAGACGGCTTTGTACATCATGCGACCGGTGTTCACACTAACACTGAGGATTTTTTCAGGAGTGAGGTAAAGCGCCGATTGAAGAACGTGTACGGTTCTACCTTAGAGATGATATTGGGTGACTTTGATAAGGTTCAATATCGAATGTGGTTTGATTTTTCGTATGAAACCCCCCACTTATATGGAAACATTCTGAGCCACATTAGGCATGCATATCCCTGTTGAACCATTTGATGTTCCCGCTGGTTATGATATTTTGATGCTATATTAATCATAAGTACTTTTATGCTAATCCTTACAACAGCTCTATGATTTTTAGACATGACGCTGCTTATGAGTAGTCGTAATATTTCTGCTAAAAATCGTCCAGGAGGGGTTACTATTGGAAACACTGCCTTAATCGGAACCCACGTTAGCACATGACTGAACTGACATAAACTAGTTATACCATGCCATGCAAAACTGGGGATCCTATACTTGTCCATCATATTTGCGCTGCAACGCAACTAAACCAAAGATAAGCGAGACAATTTTCGCCATAGTGCATACATCAGTCTTTGCAACGACGCTCGGAAGTAGATTCGATCTGGAAAACTGTAAGATACAGAGGTATCTGAGGGGAACTGCATCGGTGCAGTGGACTGGCGCTCATAACAGTCAAGGTTGACTTCGCGGGATGTGAACTTGTTTTTTTCTGTTAGTTGCCGTGTGCAGCATTGGTGAAATTAAGCAATAAATTAATCGGTTGGTCATTGGGAATATTCATGATTCGTTATTCAACTCATTTTTATCGGGCAAAAGTATGGCAGAAATATCTACTCAGCAGTTTCCGATTGGCTAAATCACCTGATGGAGGAATGTTGAGAACTGTACGATAAGGGGTTCCGAAGGTACAGTGCATCACCTGCGGTCGCACCCTTCGGGGATTCAAAAAAGGGGTATATAAACTGCGACATAGCATGTTAGTAGTAGATGATTTGAAGTAGTATGAAAAATCGATTGAAATGTGATAAATAAACTACATTGTTCCGACTATACAAAATTGCCTACTTTTTATTTTCAGTCTTTCTGGATAGAAGAAATTGAAAGCCTTTTTGATATTTATCCAGGAAATATATGCCTTTCCTATGGGAAATTTTCTAATCTAATAACGGTATTTTAATTCCAGATATTGTCAATGACACAGTAAGGTGAATCATAGAATTGAGTATATACAACAGTTTTGGTTATAATGACCCCTCAAAATAGGGCCCAGTTGCCTATTCAGACAGGATCGTACATACGTGATTTACTAATGAGTTCGTGGTGAAATGGCATTTAAAACGCAATCAAAACAGGTTCAATATCTGCTGCAGCGCATACGTAGTACATCAACTTCTTTTCCGTATTCCAAGCTACCACAGTTCCATGTAATCTATTTATCCTTTCCCAGAAAAATATTTGTACAATATTAACTGTAGACACCCACTCAATTAGTTAGTTCGTTTATGTTGCTGCATGCTGAAACACATCTATACATTCGCTATCGCCAGCGTTAATCGACATCAGTTCCGCCATTAGCAATGAAATCTCTGACTGTCCATTTATGAAGTAGAAGTGCATCGCTCAAACGCAGTAGACCCAGGGTGAAATTGTCATGATAGCCTTTGGCGAGTGACCTGTCCGATTTTGTATGTGCCCAGTAAGGACAACCATGATTACCGTATACCCACTCGCACAAGTCAATACAACGGCGGTTATCAACCGCCTGGGAATATAACACCATTTGCATCCTAACTTATCAGCTAAGTTTAGCGCGATCATCGTTCAACCGATGCGTGAGCGAGACAGAATTCATCGGTAAATGGAACTTCCCTCTCATCAGCGAAATTAGTCTCGCGCACATATGACAATGGGCACTGCACATAATCTAATCAAACAGAGCGTCCTGGAGAAACCATCTTGAGGGTTTATAACGGATATTTGAAGCAACGATTTCCCCGAATAAATTTGAAAAAGGCCAGTAGTGTTATGCAAGACGTCTGCTGCAGAGACATTTCTTTCGTATATCATCGGTTAATTCATGCGAATTACAAATGGACATTATATATGTTTATGGAGTATGGTGACGAATAGATTCAAAGGCGAGATTCATACAACTTGTTCACAAGACAGTGTAACTAGTTTACCAACACTTTTTTCTCTTAATCGGAATATAGATGGGTGGAAATGGTTAGCAAATGGGTGAGGATGACATTCACGGAAGCCGTAACCATACGAAGAACGAACCCGATTCTGTGCGCTCAGAAGCAGGTGGTCGCATTGGCTTTACCGTAGAGTTAATCCGCCCCCGCCCTACTCTATCCTTTACCCCTCACCTCATCATTGTGACTTTCGTTCTCCTCTCCCTGCCCCATTCACTCAAACTATCTACCCACACATACCAATTCCACCTCCCCGTTTCACACCTCTATTTGGATAATGAATTCCAACTTTTGTTCTTGCTAATCGTCAGTATTGTTTAATCGGCTTATTAACTCCCTGTCTTCGCATGTCCACGTGTACTAACTTCCCCTCTCCGCCTTATATCTACTGAAACACACACACATTAACACGTCACCCTCACCCATTTGCTAACCATTTCCACCCATCTGTATTCGGACCAGGAGAAAAGTGTTGGTAAACTAGTTACACTGTTTTGTGAACAAGTTGTATGAATCTCACCTTTGAATCTATCCGTTACCATACCCCATAAACATATATAATGTGAATTTATATGGAACAGTCAAATTTGAAATAACGCTGAAAGTATGTGTGCATTTCTAGAACGGTTATAATTGCACGACAGGTTTTGCTATTTCCACCACGAAGACACCGTTTCAGTTTTCACTATCATCAACCACGCACTTCCTTGTGGCGGTTTTGGCTGATGCCTCATGGCTTCCCATTCGGATTAAAGAATGAGGGGAAGATTGAAATGTTCCAATCAGTCTCAAAGTGAAAAAAGCATTCATGAAGACCAAGTTTGCAAAGAAATGGGGGCTGAGATCATTGTTTGATTTGGATTCTCTCGGACGGAGTGAGGGAATGATAGTTAGCACATCACTGACAACGACTGAGGATATCAGAACTGGCCCAAATTTACCCATTCTGGCTCTCACGACGACTAAGAAGGCATTATCAATGGTGCGAAAATAGCCTTTTCGTGTAGGTAAGTCCATCACCGCACAGGAATGAAAATTAAATTACGGCGAAAATTCAGCAATCCATCGAGATTCAAAAGCGACAAGTGCTTTTGTGGGGCATTCAGTAATGAAAGCGACGAAGAACTGTGTGGGGATATTCCCCATGCTTGAAGTGATGAGTTGTGCACCCCTCTCCAGCAGCAACGCGATAGCCCAGACCTAAATTTGGGATTCTTCGCGAAACTCACGGTGACATTACTTAACACTGTGTTTTGTCTATTTTAACTCATTTGAATTTCAGATGGGATATTTTTGTATTTGTTTTGTGGCACATAATGATCACATGCATGCAAAATTCATTCTGTTAAAGTAGTTCATTTCAGATCAAACTTGCATTCTTATGCTTGACCAGCTCGAATAAGTAGTTCCACACAAAAGTATCGACCGATATTCTGCTGTCAACTGCTACTCCCGATCCAGGTTCTAAGGGGATAATATAACCACTGGGTTGCGTCGGTTATTGTGAGAACAACCGCTGCAATGAGGAGAGTTAATGATGCGATACGCTATTGGTAAGAAACATGTCGTAGAAAAGTAAGAAAAGAAAGCGTTAAACGCCAAAGTGCTAGTACAAAGAGAATTGGGATGAACAAAAAGGTAACAAAACAATATTAGTTCATCACCCACCTTTTGTTTCGCATCTATAGTCAGAAGCACATATGAAACGAGGTGAGAGGGACAACTAAAAAAGTAAATGGGATATTGCAGAGATAAACTTCGATGAAGGTTAGCGCCTCGGTCCAGTTGTTTTCATCAACTCTTTGAACAGTTGTTCCAATTTCATAGTCAGAAAAACATCGCCTTCCAAGTCCAAATCACCCGCAAGGAACGCCTTACTCGGTGACAGCTGACCACAGATCATTCGTTCGAAATTCTCACTGGTCGTGGTGAAACGACAATCAAATTTGGACGCATCTGCCCGATCTCCTGTAGCCCGACCCACGGTACCCTTGCCCGAGGTCAGATCGACGAACCACGCCCCGGGTCGCGTACCTGATCAGTTAGAAAAGTGAGAGGAAAGGATACAGAGAGTGAATAGAACAATCTATTCAGGTCAGATGAACCATAACAGAACAGTAAAATAAACCAATGAATATTTAATTTGTACGACTAGAGGCGACTGTATTCACTTCTGTCTCAGTTTAAATCACACACCGTAGTAGCCCATAAGAAAAACTGATCAGGGGAGATATGAAACCCCGGTAAGAGATTAAGGAATAATAATATCAATGTAAAACGCACGAACGCAAAATGAACATCGACTGGTGTTCATGACCATATGTTAGCTGGACCGTATTCAACATAAGTTAATTCACCTTATCAAAAACTTCTCATCATTGGTCGATCACTTCTACATCCCATTTGAGTGCTGTTATTTTCGATTTCCGCATCGGCAACTATTTCCTTGCACTTTTCAGCAAACTAGAAGCCCAGAGTGCTAATTGTTTAATTAAATACCTTTATGCCATGAACTCCCGTGTGAGAATGAGCCCGTTTCGACTGACTTTGGAGGTCATAAACCGCTTTCGGACCCAGGCGCTCTAAGCCTTCTTTCACAGTGGTGATTCAAGTCTTTAACTGACAGTCAGGACAGCGCATGGAAAGACAGCCCCGTGGTGGGACGCGGGGGAACATGACTGAGCCATTGGAGACTACGGCGAGGCAAGAGTACAGAAAGCTTTTGATAGATCAACAGCGATGGTGGATTTCGTCGTTAGAAGATCGGTCGTGCCAATTTGCCCTCTGGATGTAAATTAGAAACCCGTGATGAAAAACCACGAGTCCGTAGTAACAGTTCAGAATAGCACTAATGACAGCTCGATAGGCTAGCAGCACCTAAGTATGTATTGTGTCCATAGTGTTCGGCTGATTTGTAGAAAAGCCCTTTTAGTGCCATCGACACGCAGAAAAATTTCGTCATTGACCTGTTCGTTGGGATGAACATAAAAACCCAGATGTTTGAAAATCTGGGAGAATTCTGCTGACTCATGGTTAATTGAGATAACCAAGGTCAACATGGTTTTAGTCGTGCACCTGATAATTTATAAGTAAATTTCTTTGGTAAAACGACTGACGAGATTAAGGATTGGCTGCAGTTTATCCAAGGTGTCCCCGCGACTGACGATATCACCCACAAACTAGATGCCCACGATCTAGTTACCTGACCTACGTTGTGTACGGGGTAATAGGTGAAGTCGCGGTGTATTATCCAGCCACTAGCTTAGTCAAAAATACCGGAAGGCCTTGTCGAACAGCCGAATTTAAGGAAAAGCTCCTCTCTACAGAAGTGAACCGAAAATCGAGTGTCTGAGTAACGACTTTATGAATCCCACAATCTTTTCGGGCATTAAATTTGCTTTCACTATGTTCCCCAACGAGTCTATATGAACAAAACCAAAGGCAGTGAGGAAGTTGATGAAACAGATCGACTTCGATTGCTGGAACTTGTAAGAGTGTTACAAGATCCAAAAGGACCGTAAATGTCCGATCAACACAACTAGCGCCACCTTGGTTAGCTCGAGTGTGTCTCTTGATGTTATGAGGTAATCAGGCAACAGCCCTATGAGCAATTTAGTGGCTATGCCGATCAGACTAATGTATTAGCTCTCGCAAACGGCCTTGACACCGTTGGGGGGGGAGGGCAGCAAAATAAGGATTTGGATACAACCCATGGTAGGTCACCTTAATCTGAGAACCTGCATTTTTAGTTTCCTAACTACAATTCACTCTTACAAACCGTCTGTTTCTCTATTTCGCGTGGATAACATATAAGCCTTCTTTTTCCTAAGAACAGCCAAGTTAAGGAACACCTTCCCGTTGTCCGTTTTTCTTTTGACCAACAACTTCCACTCTTCGAAACAAGAATCAGGAGATCGGATTATTGAGAATAGTTCCTTTTTACAGTTTACCTTTGGACTATGAGTTTGCACTTTTACTGTAAGCCGCTTTATTTGTGTAACAAACGATTGCTTTTACACTTAGAAGGTTCAGCGCGGCGTACTTTAATTCCGTACGAATGAACTGAACTTCAATAAAAGTGCGGTATCCCTGGCAAACTATAGATTAAAGAGCATATCGTGTGCAGGTGTCGAACACAGGAGGGTCAGTTTACGCGACCGTCTATGGATTGCACACAATGATGGACTTAATAATAACAACACCGTACGAGCAACGATACGTCTCCGTTAGATTTAAACAATAGACACATCGGAGAACCGAAACCGTTGAATGTAAAACCGGCAACATCTGATTCAATGCCACACAGCAGCCATCACGGCAAACAACCGGGTAATTAACAGTTTCGTCCCGGTCAACAGGTAACGAATACGCCAGAACAGACAACAGAATTCGGCTTATGGCTGCAAAACAGTCAATCGATTCGTAAACGAGAGCTGAAAATAAATAACTAATCAGGTAAGTAGGTGACAGGAATGAAACGGTGCAAGGCTAGGGCCTGTGTGGAATTCGCTAGCACTTACCTAACTGGTCAATGTCCCTGACAAGCATACTACATATAGGAGAGTCGAAGGAGATAAGTGAGTCTAATTAGTGTAACAAACAATCGGCAATCGAATTGGTCAGATAGCCGTCCTCAGCATCGGGGGGAGGTGAGTGGTACACTTTGTGACTACTCAATCACAGATACGAGTAGTTTGGTTGGATCAAAGGAATTCTAGATATTCAAATCAACAAATAAGTGGCCTCAGTGCAGGTTAGCTAGACTGACGTTCTGTATGAATAGGACAATGTCCTAAAGTTTTTCTTTAAAGTGAATAACGAATAGGGTTGAAAGTGAATAGCATTTGTCAATCACGACAAGACTGCGCCGGATGATTTGTGCAACCCAAGTCTACATGAGTTCTCTATCTTCTCTGACTCAGCTGTCCACATTCCAAACTTCAATCTGTTCTCTTATCCCAACCAAGACCGGAACATGAAAACGCATGGTTATTGGTTGAAAAACCGAAACTGGATTGCATTTGTCGATATAATCAGAAATGCGATCAATAACTTATTCACTGGCTATCCTTTTACAAACCAGGGTTATTCAATAAATCTGTGTTGAATGGCACCACCACGGAAACAATCATTGTTGACGGTTCACTTGAATTTGGCAGGAATGAATTTTCTTGTTTTGATCTCTCTCACACCATAATCGTTTGTTTTCACTAGTCTTTCGACTAGCTTCCTTAAAAAGGAATACTCAGTAAGTATACTGACCTATTGAGAATGTTATGGTAACATACTTCCGGTAAGGCAACCCGTACTATTTTACCATCCCTGTTCAATTTTGTTACTGACATAACGGTGGAGAGTGTCCCAAGAGGTCTCCAAAAAGTCAATATCGAATCAGTGACTGGAGAAGAAGACGGTGCATCAAACTACGGTTGTACAGTTACAGAAAAAATTTTGATGTCCGTTGCTGATCTCCAGTGTAGCTGTAGTCGACAAGTAATTGAACAAACCGAATGACAGTCAGGTGGTAAAACACAAAGTGGCACGAAACAAGTTCAATTTATATGATCCGGATGAAGTAATGAAACACCACACCAATGTGGTTGCCAGCATGATGCGTAATCAACGAGCATATGAAAAGGGGCTCTGCGACTTCAGGAGACACGATATCTGCTGGGTAAAATGCTCATTCAGTAGGGCCATAAGCAGCTGATTTCTTCGTTGGGACAACTGAACATCCGATCTTTCGTTAAATCAAGATACTCGCTCGAAATCCACAATATTTTGCTCGTGAACCGATTTGACTACTTAAAAATCCGAACCAAGCTGTAATCTGGACCGATCTTATTATTCAAAATGACGAATTGTTGTCAAGCCTTGGTGGATCAAGAAATCATGCGTGACACCAATTAACTTTGCACCGATCCTTTTCTGCAAATTTTAATGTGTGAATTGCTGAACTCCTGGACATTGGCAAGTTTCATTATGCAATTCAGTAGATACCCAAGTAGCAAGCTTAAACAACCATACGTGCAGCGGCATCGGTCTGTTTTAATATGGGAAGCTTGCACAAAGCGTACTTCATCACTTAACCAGATCCGGTGATCCATTTGGTAAGGGGTTTGCACTTTCGCTTCTCCAAGTCCCAGATAACCGGTTTTCCTAGTGGATCAGTAGGTCTGCAAGTACGCATTACTGAGTGAACTCGGTAATGCGTACGATGTAAGCAACGAGATTACCGCGCATGGTAATCAAAACACAGTGCCACAACAGCCATCAGAAAACATTCTCAGCACTCACGTGATAAAATTTGATACAAAATTTCATCATCCAGACTACAATGGAGCTTCAGAGAAAGACTGTCCCATCCATCATTCGGCATTAGGAACAGAGAAATCGCGGTAAATTTTACCTGATAAGTTGAAGTAAAAGGATGCTCCGATACTCTTGACATGCTCTTCAGATAGCATAGATTCGAGAAGCTTGAAAATCTCATCAACATTGAGTGGGGGTTGAGTGGCTTTTGGACGAACTTTCGCAGGCTCTTTCTCTAAGAAGAAATCCGGTGCGAGAGGAGATCCTGAGATGAATGTGTAGGAAAACAAGCAGATTTGGATAAAACCATCTACGCAATGAAGATAAAGCATCACATTATTATTGGATTTAGCATTGAAAAATACATCAATCACCGAAAAAGGCATGACATCAATAAGAGGCTTACACAGGTTAAGAAGAATCTACCAGTGATGTGAAGCATGTCTGCTGTGACGAGATTTCTTTCGCATACCACCTGTCACGTCACGCATACCATAACACATTCGTGGATGTTGCAACAAGTAAACCCGAGAGCAAGACTAGTGTAAATTGTATAAAATGTAACGGATAATAAAAATTTTTCATGATGGTGACAAGGAAGAAAAGTAATCTACAATTGATTACATAATAAGTGGTGGTGGTGGTGTACAGGGTGGATGCACCAAGTCACGTGAGGCGGAGGGGAGAATAGGATAAACAAAGTGAGTTTATAGACTGAACAAATAAAGCTAGGGTTCGAGAAACGGAGAACCGCATAGAACACCACAACGAGCTAAAGCGAGAGCAGCCTTTTTGCTTGGATTTACTGAAACGGGAAATAAAATTGGAAAACTGAAGCGGCATTTGATGAAGAGAAGGGAATCCATAG